CTCTGGTTCAACCTTCCCTTTCCTATCAGCACCTTGGTCTTCACATTTGTTCAATATTTCCTCTTGGTTTTGGGTGCCTCTTTGGGTTTATTTTAAAACCCCAAAGCAGAGAGCTCTGCAATCATTACTTGTGCTGCCTCATCAGCCCTGTCTTGCTGGCTGTCTTGCTCTTAGCCTCACACACGATGCACTGCCAGCCATCTGCAAGGCAGACAGGTGGCAGGGCCATTGTAGAAGCTCTCAGTTCCCCCTTTGTTGACTGTCCCTGCACATGTCCCTCTGGTCAGTGGAAGATGATTCCTACAGGCAGTGGAGCCAACAACATGAAATCCACTCAAAACTATGGAACAAGAGGGCTCCTTTGAGCATCCTGCTGGGGCGTGGAGCCTCAGTCTTCAGTATTTATCGCGGACCCTTGACAGCGTCACTACACATCTGGAAGCCTGACGCTGGCAGGGGGCTCATCTCAGAACGCTGGATTATCTCCAGCTGATCCATAACTATGTCCTCACAAAGGGCAGGGCCTCCTGCCAGGGCCTTCTCACAGCACAAGGCTCTCAAGACACTGATGACTCTGCTTTTTAGTAAAAGGCGAAAGATTTATGCGATCTGAAGAGAAACCAGAGTATCTGCTTTTTAAATGGGCATTTAGGTTGAGTTTGCAAATAAAAATATGCTGTGTCCTAGTAAACAGAAGGTCCTCAAGTTAATCCTTCCTGAATTCCATATATTCTTCTACCCCCCAATTGAGGAAAGACAAATCCTCAATGAGTCTGACTAAGGTTGAAACCGAGGTTGAAAGCCAGTTACAAACACTGTCACTGATTTTGCTGCACGTTTCTGTGACTTGGTAGAAGAAACATGTAAGGAAGGGCTTCAGGCAAACCATGTTCTTCTAAGTCATGTATTATTGCCAGACTCAAATTCAGCCCTTACAGAGAGTGATGTTAATTCTCTAGACAACAGAATTTTTATGTTTAGGGCATTATCATTATTTTAGTATCCAACAAGTCAGAATCTTTTGAAATAACCTCAACCAGTTTCTGGGATGGAAAAGACACCAATATAATCTGGATCAACAAGTTCCAATTTTTTTTTAAGTTAAAAACTTCTTATTAGAAATATTGTCACTTTGTTTGAAATGGCCATGTGAACAGCACCAATATATATTTTTAGTTTTAAAAATGCACAGAGTAGCTTTGGAGGAGGGACACCTCATACGCCTACCTCAGGTTGCGTATTATTATCCTGACTGTTAGCGTTCATGTCTTCACTGGGCTGGGTGGTCTCGATACTCGGGGGGTTCAGGAACCGGCTCAGCTCCTGCTGTTGGCTCTCTCTCAGGCTGTGGATGATGCTGCATGACTGCTGCTGTTTCTATGGAAACACAAGTGCTCTTTCAGGAACAGAAAACCAGCCCAACATCCTCCTGCCCCCCCACATTCAAATCATATTTTCTTCTCTCTTCTCCAAAGAACCTGTAGGCTTGGTGACCTCTTAGGAACTTCCAAGTAAGGATCCTTAACTAATATCTTTGATAAGCATCAGACTGCTATAAAGAAAGACTGAGAGACTTAGGAATTGCTCACTCCTTCCACTTTCATTTGTATAACAGTTGGAGTAGTGATGCTCATTGATATTAGCTTGTGTTTTATTTAAAATAGAAATTTTAAATCACTAAGTGTGGGTGTTCTGTTTTATTCCTTTCTTATGTTAGTCTGTGCTCATGAAGTCAATGTGGGTTGCCGTTTCCTTTAAGTTGTAAGAGACAGAGAAGCCTTGGGTGGACGAATGAAACCCTCATTCTTGTCTTGGCTCTAGACTGGAGTAGGCCGATCTGTCCTGGCACACACTGGGGTCAGGGCAGTCTGGTGGTGCACCAGCATGCCCTGTGTCCCCTCAGGGCCTACGGGAGGCAGATTCAATCCCTGGAGCAAGCGGAGCTATGGGGGGTCAGTTGCCTTGCTACAGGAGGTGGGGGTGTTTCGTTTCTCTGGGTCCCTTTTCTCATTGAACAGAAAGATAGGTTTCCACAGTTGAGGTTGTTCTGAGAAACAGAATTAAAAATATCTGTTATAAATGTTTAGTGATTAATTTGATTTGTCCCCCATGTGGATGAAACATAAGTCAAAAGCATTCATAAAATTAAATACCTAATAGAAATGCCCATTGTAAACACAGTATATGCCAACACAGTATCTGTTCGTGATTGATGAGTTAGAGAATCTTACAAGCGTATAGTTCAGGAGGCAGCAAATCAATCATTAAACTCTCAAAAGAAGTGGACTTTATTTAAAGACCACACAACATTATCAATGATATGTTGGAATTTTTAGGAGCAAATTTAAAAGTAGTTTTGTAAATTCAGTTGCTCATCAATATGTAGAGATTTTGAATAGTTGAATTTAATAAATGGAGAGCATATATATTTTAGTATCAAAAAACTGCTACTTAAACATTCATGCTGTGATCACATAAACATGTGATTTAATAGAAACTATTTATGGACTCTGCTCAAGAAGATACAGCTGAATTTGGACTAGAGTTAAGGTTTGGATCATCCTCTAACCATCATAAGTGGATGAAGTTGACACAGTTGAAGGGATAGGAGGCTAATCACAGAAAGATCTAATCCCCCTGGTCATGAGGCCCTCGAGGAGGAAATGAACCCCAGATGCTTCTGGTTCACTCACAGCTCTGATGCGCTTTAAGCACTTTTTCAGCCACATGCGGATGGTCTGCTTGGCCACTTCCTCCTCGATGGTGTATTCCAGCTGCTCCCTTGCAAGCAGCTCCTCCAACTGCAGGCTCTTTCGGATATCAACTGACCGGTAGGACAGCATGCTGGTGGGGGAGATACAACAGCAATCGCAGTTCTGAGTTGCCTGGGATTCAGACTCTTAGAGATCTCAAACTCCAGACAGGACATCACTCAGCCCAACTACTGTAGCATTCTGATGCCAGCCTGACCTAGCTGGATGGCTCGGGCTAGTTAATGTCCTCTCTCTGTCTCTCTTCCCTCATCTGTGAAATGGGGATAGTCATGGTACTTACCTTATTAAGTGACTAAGTCAGTTAATATTTGTGAGGTGTTTACAACAGTGAGATATAAGCATTTGCAAAACAAAAGATCCAGGCTAGGCCCTGATTTACATATCAGCTGCTTAAGACTCTGGAACTTTCCCTGTAAAAGGAAGCCGGCTATCTCTATACTTTCTTCACATTCAGCTCCAATTGGCTGTGGGTCATGCATCTCCTTCTCCTCTCCCCACCCCCATTTCCCGCTCAATTTATCTAATTTGTCCCCCTGGATCTTCCTCATTAATTTTGATGGATGCAAAGCCAGGGTGAAACATTCACTCGCATTCAGCCCTTGGCACAATAGGCCCAGACAGCAGCCAATGAAACCAGCACAGCTGATGTGCTGCATGGGGGTCCCTGGCAATAAGGCAACTCGTGTTCAGGCCGAGGGGTCCACAGCCAAAGGAGGATGCGGCCCCTTCTGGCAGCTTGGTGCTCCCTGGTGCAGCCACAGGACCCTACTTATTGCTCAGCCCCTGCCTGCCCCCGGCTGTGCCCTCAGCTCCATCTCCCTCACCCAAATCACAACACGGAGGTCTTGAGAGGCCCCTCCCCAGTCTGCACTGGTGCACTGACCGCTTCTTTGCTAAGGCTCTTCCCACCATTGAGGGAAAAGGACATTTGCTCTTCCTCCCTTCCTGCCTCATAAAGAATCTCACCATAGCTAAACCATTTTCATCACACACTGAGCGAGAGGGAAGGGAGGCACCAACAATGCTACGACTGAATTCACCTGGGTCTGTTTTATCTAATTTATCACTGTGAGCCAAAGAGCCTGAGTATTAATTATTAATGACAGTGGTATGTCTATGGGCCTCACTTTCAGCCTAAAAGGTATTTGTCACTAGGAGTAAAGATGAGGGGACATTCCAACATCCTTTGCTATTCATGTGTGTTTTCTGCCCTGTCTTTTTCTGCCTTTTAGCTTGCTCCTGAAAGAAGTGAGTAGAGGGTGATAAAATTGATAACTTGTGGGAACTTCCCCAGACCCTTCCTATGCTGGTCTTTTTTCAAATTCTAACCACAAGCGTAGTTCAGTATACCTGAATGCTCCTGAAATGTGTGACACAATACCCAACATTTAACTTGTCAGTTATTTGCAACATGATGAAAATAGTTGTTGTTAGTAGAGGGTTCTTAACTTTTTCTGTGGCATGAAAACCTTTGGCAATGGAGCCCCTGAAATCATGTTTTAAATGCACAAAATAAAATACACATTATTTCAAAGGAAACCAATTGTATAAAATAGAGTTCTCAAATTATTTTCCTTGAAAAGAGGTGATAATAGTAACATAATTGCTTCTTTATTATTGCATTAAATAATAACATCTAGCTGAGGTCAAATGACTACCATAATTTGGAAGTACTGGTGAGCATAAAGGATATTTTAAGATATCGGCCAGAGCAGTAATGTGATCTGAAAATATCTATGATTTCTACTGGTCACAAAGACATAGGAATCGTCAATACTATTGTGGTTTGTTGCCTGCATTCATCACTGAAAAAATGCTGCATTTCAGCAAGTGATTAGTGAAAATAAAGATGTAATTGTTTTCCTTTCCAAGTCCTCTGAATGTTTTCCATGGACCCCTGTTTAAGAAGCTATTCTGGGTTGACTGCCTTCCCCGCCATCCCCCCCCCACACACACACACACACACTGACAAAAAAAAGATATATTGGGAGCCATAAGCCACTGTACCTCAGAGTCTTATTTGGAAATAGGTCATTGCAGAAGTAATTAGTTCAGATGAGGTCATACAGGAATGGGGTGGGTCCCTAATCTGAAAAGACTGGTGTCCTTATAGAAATGAAAATTTGGATACAAACAGACATATGCGCATGCACAGGGAGAACACCATGTAATGATGCAGGTAGAGATTGGGATGATGCTTTTACAAGCCAAGGAATGCCAGAGATGTCCAGCAAACCATCAGAAGCTGGGGAGAGGGGGTGGAACAGATGCTCCCTCACTGCCTCAGAAGGACCAACCCTGCTGACACCTTGACCTCAGACTTCCAGCCTCCAGGCTGTGAGACAATAGATTCATTGTTTAAACCATTCAGTGTATGGTATTCTGTTACAGCAGACATAGCAAACTGATACAAACTGATGCCCTCAGTTTTCCCCCTTTGTCCTGTCTGGGTACTTTCAAATGTCTGGAAAACGTGGTTTATCAACCAACTGAGGGCAACCATCCCAGAGCGGGCCAGGAAAATTCTTGTCAGATGCACAAAAGAGAAGATCTGGATTTTAGCTCCAGCGTGGCCACAAAGGCTGAGTAACCGCAAGCGAGTCACTCCGCTCTCCTGGACCAGTTCCTTCCTTGCAAGACGAAGGGCGGGCTCGGGCTCTCTGAGGCCCCTCTACGTTTCCCCTTCAGGAGCTCCTGGTTCAGTAAGGGGCACCTGGGGATGTCAGGCCACTGCTTCTCCCCACTCCAGTGTGGGGCACTCACTTGCACACGGTCACTAAAGGACAGGTGAGAAAGGCCACTTGGCACCCGAGAAGTGTGACCTTGCTTTATAACCACAGCGGACGTGGCATGTTAGGTTATGGACCTACTTGTTAATTGTATTTCACAAGGCCTTTCACGATCATAGCTTCAGTTTTCGGCCTCAGTTCAGCTGTGTGACACAGAGCTGTGAAACCCCCCTCGTACCTTAGGACATCGTGGAACGTGACATCGCCACCATTGTGCAGCCGCTCCATCTCATAGCACATGTGCTTAAACAGAAGTTTGTCTTTGTCCAGGTCCACCTCCAGCCTTCCCCGCAGCAGCCGCAGCAGGAACTTCACGCGGAAGGTTGGAATCACCCCCTGGAGGCAGAGCACAGGAACTGTAAGTCGTCATCCGGAGGCGGTAAGGCTTCCTCTGCTTTCACCCGAAACACCTGGAGCTTTTTCTCAAAAGATGGCATAATTCGCACCAGCTGGCAAGGAAGTTGTTCGCCTCCCTGGAGGCTTGGGGGTGGGGGTGGGGATATATGTGCGCTGAGGAGATTGGGAGATAAAAGCTAAGTACTTTGTAAGACTTATAAATGTACACCATATTGTATACCTGAAGCTAATATAATATTGCATGTCCACTGTAATTGAAAATAAACTTTAAAATAAGTTATTTGAAAAAAAAAAAAGCTGAGCACTTGCATTGGTTCTCAACCTGTGGGTCGCGACCCCTTTGGGGATCGAATGACCCTTTCACAGGGGTCGCCTAAGACCATCGGAAAACAAAAAGATACTTACATTACGATTCATAACAGTAGCAAAATTACAGTTATAAAGTAGCAATGAAAATAATTTTATGGTTGGGGGTCACCACAACATGAGGAACTATATTAAGGGGTCACGGCATTAGGAAGGTTGAGAACCGCTGACTTAGAGTTTCTGCTGGTGCTTCTCTGGTTTTATTGGATTTCACAACCATGCAGCCTTCGGAGCCAAGGAGGGTACAAAGCTCTCCTGGACCCAACACTTTTTCACCAGGCTTTTCCTCCAGTGGCCTGTTCCACCGACTCAGCTCCTGCTTGGGTGTTCCTCTGACCCACGTGCCGAGTGGGTCAGTAATGCATCAGCCCCCAGCGTGGAACACGGCCCCCTCTTCACTTAGTCTGGACGCCAGGAACTTCTACATGTGTGATGTTAAGTTGTTCTTCTATGAAATGATCACTCCTTTTCAGGTCTCCTCCATTATCAGAACAATTACACATGAGAGAATTGGGTTCCTGGTCAGAGCAGCTCCAGAGTCTGAAAATCTCACATGTTACTCCCTTCCAGGCACTAAAACCTACATTGCCAGCCTGCCTGGTTATTTCTTTGAACTAAGGTGTTGGGAAAGCGGCAGGGGAACTGGGGAGCCATGAATCCTGTCAGCTACTAACATCACAGGTGAGTGTGGTGCCGCCTCCCATGGGTGTGTCGGGGGAAAGCAGCTTCTGATAGGAAGCAGTGATGGAGATGTAAGTGGGTCCAGCTGAGATGCCTGCACTTGTAGTCACTGTGTGAGACTGGTGCCTGGGTGACATGGGGATACCAAAGAGAAAGCAAGCAAAGGGGGCAGAGAAAGCCAGGCATGGCCAGGCAGGCCCTGACTCCAGCCCTGGACCTCCCACATTTACTCAGCCTGTTCTGGTTCCTTGGTCTTTGTGCCTTAGTCAACTCTTCCTGAAACTATTTTCGGATCTTTCCTCAGATCTTCCCATGGCTGTACTTTTCTCATTATGCAGATATTGGGTCAAATACCACTTGCCCAGACAGGCCTCATGACCACCCCGGCTAAAGCAGTCTGCCCCCAACTCCAACCACTCTCTACCATTATTACCTTCTTCAAAGTGTTCATGGCTTCTAGAAATAATAATTATTACTTCACTTTTTATTTCATCTCCTTGTGTTAGAACATAAGCTCTGTGAATCCAGGAATCTTTCCATCTTGTTCACTGGTACATCTCCAGTGCCTAGAACTACATCTGAGTGTTTGTTAGGATGAAGGAGGAAGAGGAGGAGGAGGAAGAAGCTGCCACTGCTTTGGCTAATTCTAGTAAATGTTTGGTAAGCTTCATGATTAAAACATTCAAATACTAAGTCCAAACTAATTCAAAATAATAACTCTCAGAAACCACGCGAAGAGCTCCGTTGCACTTGTAATCAGGATTGGTGTTCGAGGTTGAGGGGATCATCAGTCTATATTACACTGTTGCTTTAGTAATTTGAACTTCACCCTTCCTCCTGCCCCGAGCCCAGGACTGGTTTCTTCAGAGCGCCCTTGGTTTCCTTTCCTTGCTGACCTGAGTGCCTGAAGACGAGGAAGGTCGTGGTTGGAAACGACATGAGGATGTTCTGTCCCTCTCCCTCCTACTGTATTATGCTGGATTGTCAATGACAGCTTTCTGCCATTCACCAACGGCCATTCAAAATTCAACACATGTCAGTTGCCAACCACGAAACCATGTTTGAGATATGGCAATAAGGGTCTTTGGGGCGGGGCATGACATGACAGCATACTCTCCTACCTCTCGTTTATCGTCCACCATATTCCATATGATTTGAAAGTGGCGAAGATCGTTGTAACTTAAAAGCTGGTCCTCCTCAGTGGAATAAAACAAGGAGAAATTTTCCACAATTATGGCTAAAAAAAAGAAAGAAAGAAGAGAAAAATCGAGAAGTTTGACAATTACGCTCCTCTGTCATTTTTTTAGAAAAAGTAAAACATCTATTTTAAATAATGAATTTTATCACCTACATGATAAGCCAAAATTTTTTTTAAGTGCTTTTCATATAATTTCCAAGTTGGCATGTTTTCCACTTGGACTAAGCTGTTTATCTAGCTCTTGCCTTTCTAAAACATGAGGGTTATGAGCATAAACACACATTCTGTGTATGTAGAGATTCATGCCAGCTGGCTTTCTCTTGTAGTTGAGAGTTCCAGGGCAGTTTTTAAAGGTCAGATGGAGTTCTGGGTGGCCCTGCAGCTGGGTGAACAACATGCATCTCTCAAAAACATCAATGTGACATTTTGAGGCTGTAAAGGTAGCTCCCCCTGATATTTGTTCACCTCAATCCACGAGAAGAGTTCTTTTGAAATTAATGATCATAATAAATAGGACAACTCTTGAAATTGCAATCAACTGTCATTTACATGCCTTTCAAAGGTCTTTTCAGCCTCTGGATGGAGAGGCAGCAATTTATAATTAATGCCACGAAACACCCACCCCAAGCAATCCAGGATAATTACTTGAAAATTGTACATAATTATCTAAGTACCTGAGTTTAAAGAGATTAAAAATATTCAATGAACATCACTTACCTACAAGTAGATTTAGCATGATGTAGGCAATGATGACATAAAATGAACAGAAATACATAAGTGCCCCGGCATAATTTCCACAGTCTGTTGCCCAGTATGTAAATTCATCTGGAGTACAAAAGGGTGGCTGGACCTGGGAGGCAGTGCGGGGAAGAGGAAGGAGACAGTGACAGCAGAGAAGAATACACATTTTTGTTAACTGACTAGTTAATGAACATATTCCTAACCCATGTAAAATATAATTAATTTCAAAGTAATCTCTCCAAAGCTATAGACATTGGATACATCATCTACAGCAAAAATAAAAAAGACTATTTCATTTATGCTATGCGTTTAGATTCGCAAATTCATTGCCATTTTAGAAGCATAATGAAAATGAACTGGTTTCCTTTAAGAGATGCTCTGTCTGCCACCTCCGCTAGCCCCAAATGATAAGTCGTCACAGTGACGCAAAGTGCAAAATGTCAGACAAGGGGCATTTAAAATTTTTTCTCTGACCTAAGTAATGGGTTAAGATTAAGGAGGATTTGTTATACACAGCAAATTCACATTCAAATTGTTCAAGGAGAGGCCAGGTGGGAGGGAAAGAACAATGCCCACATGATGCATGTTTGTTGAATGGAACTACAATATAGCTCAAGGTGGGTTCATTGGATACTTTTCCTGTATGTCCATACATTGTAATGTAAAAGAACATAATTTTATGGACTAAAAGGCCAGGATATGTGTTTTGTACACCAAGTCTTGCTGCTAACAAGGAGGATGCTGCCAATCCTGTAAGGCTAAAGAGTTTCATCTGATTGGCATTGTTAGTGATGAAGAGATGTTTACCATACAGTCATGCATAATCTTGTTCCAGTCTTCACCGGTAACAATTCGAAACAGTACAGTAATAGCTTTGCCAGCTGAAGAAAAGTTTGCATGCCTAATTTAAGGAAAAAAACAAAACATAAACAATAATATGAGTAATATAGTTGTCATGAAGTAGTAAGGTTTGCCACCACAACAATAGGTGAATTTTAGAGAAAATTTGGTTGCTAAGTTACAATTTCCAAAGGTTATACCCTCTTATTTGTTTGTTATTTATACTTGCTCCCAAGTATAGCTGACTGAATAACCCAACCCTAGCATGGTGTCAATTTCTTGCCATTCATCTCAAGCTTTGACAATTAAAAGTGATTCCTTCTTTCCTGTGGATTATGCTATAAAAGGTGGAGCTGTCCTCATGTATCAAATAAAGCATTTCTGCAACAAGAGACATCTGTATATAATTTGTTGAATAAGGACTTTTCTTGTATAAGGACTTTTTTTAGACTATGAGATACTTCCAAAAAGTTTAAGATAATCTTTGAAAAATGCTTTTCATATGTAATAATAATTTTATTGATTGAAGTTAGAACAAGGGGTTCTAACTTCCCTTGTTTTGTTAACAAAAAGAAAAAACCAATGCCATCTCAAAATTATTTAATTAAAAAATGTCATTTTTTGACAATACATGGAAAACAAAAAGTGGTGAAATTCACCAGGATATTAGTAGTTATTCCTGAATGGTGGTGGAATTATGGATTCTTTTTTTTTTAATTTCTGAATTTTCTAAGGTTTCTAAACATGCATACTGTTTTCAATTAGAAAAATGTCATTTAATATTTGGCCATTTTATTGTTTCAATTTCCAACTGATTGCTTCTCCCTTCCCTTCTGTCTTTAATAGATAAAGAGCATTCAGGTTTTTATTCATGATTTCAGTACTAAAGAAGTTTGCTTGATAACTGAATAGAAAAATACATATATACCAACCTGTTAATGTTCTCTCCATATTTCACAGTACCAAATAAAACAACTCCAGCAAAAGCATAACACAGCAGCAATAGGAACATTCCTACGATGATAAAGAAGCTTTTATACATGCTGACAACCACCGTCAGGAGGAGCATCTTTAGTGTTACCTGTGTGGAGATAGAGATGGAGATGGAAATGATGGAGATGATGCAGGCGGAGACGGAAATGGAGATGAGATGGAGATGATGGAGATGGAGAGAGGGGGGGGGAGAGGGAGAGAGGGGGAGAGAGAGAGAGAGAGAGAGAGAGAGAGAGAGGGAGAAGGGAAGAGAAAATATGAATATTCAATTCATTAAACCATAGAGAACATGGGAAGTAAATGACATTTAAGCAGGTTGGCACAAGAGTGACCCTCAGAATATCATTTGAAAATTTCTTCCTATTAGATATTATATCAGAATATTATTCTAAAACCTTTAGAAAGAGATAAATTATACTCATATTTCAAACCGTCCCGCCTTTTCAGCCAAATTAATAAAAGTTCTGTCCTAAGATTTTTTTAGTCTTCCATTTTCTTTTCTCTTGCTCCCTAATTCCGTATGATAAGGGCTATATATTTTTGGCCTATAGCAAGTAGACTCAATACTCTTCCACAAACAGATGTTCATAAAAACAGACCTAAACAATGGTAAAATACTAAATACCCTCAAATAGTAAATGTATTAGTTATGTTTATATAGAGACTATACATGATGTAATGTCAGTATCTAAAAAGAAAATGGTACTTTAAAATATGAAAAATATATGTGGACTGTATCTATGAACATTACCAAAGAATATAAAGAAATCTGGGATCATGGAATCTTGGATGTTCATGAAGGATTATTTTCTTTGCAGTCAAACAGCTTTATTAAAAATAAAAACAATAAAAATTAAGAAGTATTAAGAAATACCATTGGTTTTTGCTTTCATGCCGGATATGTTATCTTTAGTTGATGATTGAGTTCACTTAGCAAATATGAAGAATAAATAAAACAACGTACATTCAGGAAAGATATTACAAGATAACTAGGCTACTGATTCATTTTAATATTTAAAATTTACTTAAATGATGTCTAGCACTTTGTTAACTACAGCCCTGAACACCGAGAAAGACAGCTGACGTCAGTCAGCCGTTGCTCTTATCTTCCCTGTCTGTGGGACCTTCGATAGAATGCTTCACAACATACTCACATGCTTTCCACAGATGGAGAAAAACCTAAAGACAATCACACATGCGCCCATCATGTAGGTATATGCATTCTGAAATTTAAACAGAAGAAAGCCTCTCATAATTTGCACAAAAGATCTTGTTACAGTTTTCATTTTAAGTCTTCTGTGAAGCCTACTGATTAGTTTAATAAAATGTGAAAATTCCTTTAAGAAATTTATTTTAAAAAGGTGCTGAAAAGGTCACTGCCAAAACTCATGAATACATATTAGCCATAAAATCAAATCTTAAATGAAACTTCAGTCCCTGTTTTGCTCAGCTGAATTCTGTATTTTAAAAGTTATTTTTACATAAAATAGTGAGCAGCTTCTTTGAGGAGTAAGAACATCGTAGGATAACAATGCAACATAAGGAAGGCCAGTGAGACAGGAGATAAAGGAATCCTGGCGGAGGGAGCTCAGGTGTTGAAAAGCTTGCTGGAGATCAGATTGTGACTTAAGGTCTCTGGAGACCTCTTGGGACCAGGCAGCCACACGTCTAAGTGATTCCAGAGATGTCCTCCCTGCTCAGAAACACGTTCAGCTCTTCCTGCAAGTGTGTGATCAGCAGTAAGAGATGACTCAGTGTGCTTCATAACTAAGAAAGCTTGATCTGAGAAACAAAGATCCCACCGACTATAACCGTAGTGATAACTGTGGCATTAAGCTGATGCTGAAGTGTGATTTTTCTCGAAGAGCCTTGCCGAGGCAAATGACAACAGTCACGTATGGGCAGTGGGAAGGGGGTCCAGTGAGATCCTTGGTGAGGTGCAAGGAAATAAATATGTCTGCACAGAAGTGTCTTTGGATCAGAACAAGGACTGCATCTTCCTTCACCATAGTCCACTGTGAAATGGAGTGGAGGATGAGCACGCTTCCAGGACCAGAGGTTCTTAAAGGACAAAAGCAGTCAGCGCAACAGGCAAGTTGGTCTTTTTGGTGTGACATTTCCTCTCTGGGGACATCTGGAATTAGGGAGTGTATTCTGCTCTTCTGCTTGGATAGAGTGGCTTTGGCTGCAATTTATCTGGAGAAAAATAAAAACATGTGCTTTGCTGCTCCTTTTTTCCATGGTAGCTCCAAACTTATTGTAGATTCCTTCTCACTTTACATTCTGGAAGTGATGATACCCAATAGCTTCTAGGATGATGAGCTTCACCTGGATGACAAGGTCCTGAGAGGTCTCACACCTTCTTACTCACACAGAGCTTATACCTTGTTCCGCTGGCTCCTTCTAATCCAGTTGCTCTATCTATTATCCTTCCATCATCGAAACAGCTGCCTGAAATATCAGCGGTTCTCAACCTTCCTAATACCACAACCCCTTAATACAGTTCCTCATGTTGTGGTGACCCCCAACCATAAAATTATTTTCATTGCTACTCTATAACTGTAATTTTGCTACTGTTATGAATCGNATTAAGTGCATGCAATGCACTTATAATACTCATTGGCATTCAGCAAGTACTATACACTCATATCATCATATCGTATCGTATCATATCATATCATATCATATCATATCATATCATATCATATCATATCACACTATGTAAGTTTTGTTATTCCTTCTTTAAGAACTATGGCATTTTCTAAATGATTATATTGCTTACTTTCTCAGATTAAGTAAATTTTCCCTATGTTTGAGAATGACTTGAATGCACACAGGTAGCCCTTTGATATTTTTCCTCTTTTGTTTCTAGATCTTGACTATCATTATAGCCTTCTCAACCATGGTAGCTGAAAACGAGCTCCAATATGGTTCTATTTAGAGAAGTTATTTTGAGGGAAATGTTTTTGATAAGGGGATATATTTTTCATTGTTTCACTGTCTATAAATAACTTTAGGTGAAATCTAGGATTGAAAACACGGAGTGTAAATACCTTTAAAAGGCCTCAATCAATGGATAAAGGACTTGATGTACATACCGGAGGGCAGACGCCACTGCCCGAACTTCCTTTGGGGTTTTCCGGTGTCCGCTGCATCTTGCCGACTTCCTCCTCTGTCTGACAGAGTGGGGCTCAGAAGCTGCTGCTGGCTGCTTGTCTGCATTGGGGAAGAAAGGAGCAGTTACTTTCTCAATACTGTGCTCTTCTCCTAATCTGCACTGGCCTGGACCCTCATTTTATTTTTAAAAAGGAAGAAAATATCACAGGAAACAAATGGAAAAAACAATATGGTCCCATAGTGTCCACAAGGGGGAAATAAAAAGTGAAAATGGGTAAAAAGGGTCAAGGAAAGTAAGAGTCGCCATTGCAGGTTGTGAAGAAAGGAGGCCCAACTCTCTAAGTAGTGTTGTTTCTTTGACATCCCTCCAGAAACCCTCCATATCCCCTCCATACCTGGTAGCCATTTACCAGGGCGAGGATGGCAGCATTCCAGGAAGGCGGGTGGGGCAGTGGGGACTGCATGGTTCGGGGGAAGCGTACTCTTGCCATCCTGGAGGTCAGTGTCTAGAGCAGCGGTTCT